TTCACTACAAGTCCATGCTTCCTAGATGGTCGGATTCCGCATTTAAGCGAGAGGTTTTCCATGACTTCTAGTTGACGGAATGACGAGAAGATCCATTTACTTGTACCATAACTAATTTATCCAGATTAGCCCTTAAATGACTCATGCATTCAGCTTGGTTTGGAGGCATATATTAATGATGTGGATGTAGTTTACATTCTTAGGACCAAATGAAAATATGACCATGCACAATGAATTATTTATCTCTAGTTTTTGGATGCTTGCAGCTGATACAACAGTGATACAATGAGGCATGACTGCATGAGACCTCGGTTTATATATGTATACATTCAAATTATGCTAGATTTCGTTTTTTCTTACACACACACACACATACACACACACACACATACACATATATATATACTCGTCTTAAATTATGCTAGTTTATATATATATATATATATATATATATATACACATTCTAGTTGAGGGTCCGCACCACGCAAGATCTGCTGCATGCTATGAGTCGGCTCGCGAGTGGTACTATAGCCAATGACTCAACATGCATGATTTTTCAATTTTTTTAACAACTATAAGAACTAATTTTATTTATATGGGAAATTGAATACAAACCGGATATATATGATTTTTTTTATTCAAGGCGTTCCTTTTAATAAAGTAATTTAGAGCAATCTCTCATTTCCCTTTAGATGTTCCTAAAAAATTATAATTATACGCAATGAAGTTATAGTTAAACTATATATTTCTCATGTCATTCTCTCTCAAGTATAACTGTATAAGATATTAAGATCCAAGTATCCAAATATTTTTCTTTTGTTTGACGATCTGGAATTTAAACTATTATATATTTTTAGAAAATGACAAGCCATGTAGATAGAGGTAGCTCCCATCACTCTACAAACTCTACACCAATACATTTGGATTCCACTCCATCGACTCCAATTACTCGAATCAATTTTCTCTCCACAACTTGTTACGGATGAACTTCAAAGCGATTTCGATCTCCCTAATAGAAGGTAATTTAGTCGTCGTGTGGAACCATTTCACAAAGAAAGCTGTGAATGGTGAAGAAAAGACAGAATGCAATTATTGCACGAAACGACTTGGAGGCAAGTCAAGGAATTGTACTAAACATTTGCATGATTACTTTAAGAGATGTCCAAGGAAGAGAATTACGGACATGAGACGAAGGTTTTGACTTCTAACTTAGTGAGTGATATAATGTCTCTTACTTTTGATCAAGAGATGGGAAGAAATGAGCTTGTTTCTATGATCATATTGCATGAATACCCACTCTCTATGGTTTATCATATCGACTTCGGGAAGTTTACAAGTACTCTTCAACCATTATTCCGGTGTCCAAGTAGAAATACGGTGAAAAGTGATGCCTTCAAGATATATGACAATGAGAGAGCCAAAATGAAGAGACTTTTCGAAAAACTTGAAAGTAGAGTTGCCATCGGTATTGATTTTTGGACGGCGAGCAAGAAAAAAAAAGGTTTATGGACGTTACGACTCATTACATTGATAGTTCTTGGACATTATGAAGCTCGCCTATTAAGGTACTCTTCATTTCTTTTTAACTTAATGATGTTTGTTTAATTGTTTTAGTTTAATGCTTCTAGTTTATAACTAATTTATATCTTACTTTAGGTTTATGTATGTTCCTTGTCCATATACAAGCATTTTCCTTGCAACTGCTTTGGTTGATTATTTAATGGATTAGAATGTTGAAGGAAAATTATCCATTATTACATTAGATAATTGTTCCATCAATGATTCCATGGTTGAGTATGTGAGGGACAAATTATAATCTAAAGATTTATTGAATTCTAGTTCTTTATTGCATATGCGGTATCGTGCTTATATAATTAACTTAATAGTGAAAGATGGGTTAGATGTCATTAAGGATGGGGTTGAACGAATTAGAGATAGTGTAGCATTTTGGACGAGCAACTTCTAAAAGAGTTGAAAAGTTTGAGGAAGCTCGGTAACTTTCTTCTCATTCCTATCATGAAGAAATTGGTTTTAGAATGTCCAACTAGATGGAATTCTATTTATTTGATGCTTGAAATTGCTTTATTATATAAGGATTGTTTCTTTAGGTTGAAGCGTCGCAAACCTTATTATAAGGTTGCACCTATTGATAGTGATTGGGAATTCGCAAAGGAAATGTGTGGGAGATTAAAGATCTTTTATAGTGTTATTGAATTGTTTTCGGGAACTCGATACCCTACGTCAAATATGTTTTTCACTAAAATTTGTGAAATTAAGGTTGCATTAACTCAATGGCTCACTTGTCCAAATCAAATGGTTAGTGAAATGGCGGAAAGTATGTTAGTCAAGTTCAATAAGTATTGGAGTGTGATTCATGAAATAATAGGAGTAGGCTGCAGTTTTGGATCTTAGGTACAAAATGGATTCACTGGAGTTTTATTTTGAAAAAGTTTATGGGAGTGAGGCGATGGTTCGGATTGAGAATATAAGGAATCCATTTTGTACCTAGGCCATCAAAGTAGGGTACAAAATGTCTTGACAACGAGTTTATGATGATATGGAATCCGAGTTTGACTTATATGTTTCAAGAAAAAAGGCCAAGGTTACTTTTGTCAAGATAAAGCTAGACTACTCTTAGATGAGGGTGTTATTCCAAGAACCAAAGATTTTGATATTCTAGTATGGTGGAAAGTAAATGGAGTGAAGTACCCTACTTTGATGGCAATTGCTAAGGATGTGTTGGCAATCCTTATGTCAACCGTTGCTTCGGAATCGGCTTTTAGTGCTTGGCGGCAGGCTAGTAAGTCCACATCAAAATAGACTTCATCCAAAGACAATGGAAGCATTAATGTGTGCTGAAAATTGGTTGTGGACAGTTGAAAATAAAAGTAATGCACTAAAACTCTACATATGAATTTGATTTTTTTTATTAATTTCTTAAAAATTTTATATATCTTATTTATGTTTATTATATTTATTTCTAGGTGGAACTTCATTTGTTTTAGATGGTTATTGTTCTATGTATGAGGAGTATCCATAAGAGGATGAAGGTATAAAATAATATGTCAAAGTTTAAATGACAACATTAAAAATTTTTATAATGACTAATTCACTTTTAATTTTAATGAATGTAGGATTTGCGGTAATCGACGATTATATTGAACTCCAATGTAATGAGTGAGTCTTGATGATCTTTGAGTAGCAACATGCAAAGATTTGTTTCTTTAATTGTATTTGTGATATTTTATCAATTTAATTAAGTATGTTATTTATTCGGTTGAAAATGATTTAATATATTATGAATTGTATTGTAATTTGTGATAATTAAGTATGTGTTGGAACATGTTTTTTCATTGTTTCTCTTTGAGTTTCAATGATTTGATCTCTTGCTTGGGAAACAAAATTATGCAAATTGTGTGTGCTTATTATAAAATCTGTCAAAACGGGACAAAATGAGACGGGGCGGGACGAACACAAACGGTAAAACGGGGCCCCGTTTGCCCCGCGAGGATCCCCGTCCCCGTTTGGAGTGGGGATGGGATGGCAAATTTTGCCCCATTCGGGGCACGGGGCGGAGATGGGATGGCGATCCCTCCCCATTGCCATCCCTACTTTAAAGTTTAGACGTGATTTAAGTGGCTTATTTATATTATCTAAGATTTTATTGGCATATAAATTAGAAAGTGATATTAAAAAATAGGATTAATCTATACTTTAGAATTCATTCTAAAAAAAATAGCCTATTTGTTAGGAATTAATATTTTTTTTAAAAGAATTTTATCCTGTTTTTTCTTAATTAGAGGTGAGGTTGAGTTTATTTATTGGCATTAGTAGTATATTATAATTTTAGTATTGCATAAAGGTATAACAATTAATTAAAAGTTTTTAAAGAGTTCATGGACACACACATATATATGGATTAAACATTTTAGCTTAAAAGTTCAATTCTTAGCATCGAAGAAGCCATTCAATCTGAAAATGTTATGAATGGTGTATTTGGGTGTATATTTTCTTTGATCTAAATTTCATATCCAAATCCTTTCGAAATTTGGGAGAAATCATAAGATTGTTCAAGTAACATCCAAATTCAAAGAACTGAAGCTTTTTATTTACTTGGATACCAAATTTATTTCTACTTTATTTATAAGACATGGCAGGTTCCTCATTTTCTTTTGATATACACTAAAATAATATATTGATCTTGTACAATTTTCTTAATTTCGTTGTTCTGTGCATATTTTACTGTTGAACATAATAGCTGAAAATTCCAATTCATAGCTTCCAAAAAATTACTTTGTAAGATTAGCCAGTGACTAATGAATTGTTTTGCATCACCTAAAAGAAAATTACAAATTAAAAAGAATTGACAAGAAAAACGGAAAACGAAAAAACAAGCCCCAAAACAAAGCGTTTGGAAACAGAATACTTTATAACCAAATTCGCAGGGCTTGCAACTAGCTTACTATCATACTGAAAGACTATGCAACAATGAAACCTCTTCATGGTTCTTCATATTTTTCACCAGTTAATATTCAAGTGAACCCAGGACTTTGGCTGACCAGAGTAGAGAATTGAGAGTTGGAAATGACCAAGCATTCCTAAAATCAAATAAAAATTTTAAACAAAGCACCCATGCACCGGGATATTTAGATAATATTTGATGGTCAAGCTAGAAGCATTTGCACGTCTTAACGAATAATATTTGGTTGTCCAGTCCAAAGATCTTTAAAGTGTCCACACCTACTCTTTACTGCATTGCTAATGATTTCCTTTCTGATTCTCAAAAGCAGCACTCTTCAAAAAAAAAAAAAAAAAAAGCATATGTAGGAAATTTGATAAAAAGATATCCAAAAATGAGACAAAACCCTGCTCATTCATATGACCATTCCTTCAAATCAAACCACTCCAGTTTATGTTTTTAGCTTAGCCCTCATAAACCACCAGGACAAGCAAGCAAAAGCACTAAGCATCAAAATTTCAGGATTAAGAAAATCCAACCCTCACCACCCAACAAGTAGAAGTTTTAAGAGGGCCATTCTGATATACAGACCATTCTTGGCTTGCCTAAAATATGCAGCCCTTGGATCCGCATCAACATCAACAGTTATCTACACAACAATAATGAGAAGAAACAAATAAATCAAGAATCACAATTGCTAAAGAAGAAAGCTTACAAGTGTTGTGCCAGTATCATCTATAAATCCATATTTACCTCATCTAGCCTAGGGAGAGGATGCATGACCACAGCATGCTTCTGCATCACATTTAACACATCACAATCCACAATATACTTTCCCCGAGCTTCTTCATAAAGTTTAATTCTCTCCCCAAACCGTTCTCGCTGAATACGAGTTTGATATACAACATCACACTCCGAAGCCACTTCTATTAGATCAGCACTTTCTTCCCATGCAACTCTTTTTGAAGTCAGATAGTCTTTTATGTCATCCTGAGGGAAAAAAATAATAATTAAATGTAAGAAACAAAAACTCAAAAAAAAGTCCTGAAAGTCTTTACATTCAATAGGCTGAACATTCAAAATTTAGTTAAGAGTTCCCATGATTAACAACATTTCAATCAGGCTCGTAAACGAAGCTTGATATATATATATATTCTGACAGGATATCAGTTCTATTACCTTCATTTTTACCACATCAGGAGAGACAAAGTAGATCTTCACGTCTTGGTATTTAGAAAGCAAATAGGCAAGTGAGCGGACTGTCCTTCCATTTGCAAGATCTCCAACAAGTGCAACTTTAATGCCATCCAGTTTCCCTATCTCTCGGTCAATAGTATATACATCCAAAAGAGCCTGTTGCATTATGAAACAGAAATTAGAGCAATGTTATGAGATACAAAAGGCAAAAATCGTAGCTGCACTTGAAGAGCACATGTTAATCCGTCATAAAGTATATTGCTGAAGCAATCAGACATACTATACAAAGAAACATTTACTGACACTACAGCTCTAGGTCATTAGTCATGAGCAAACACCAAATATCACAGACACAGTTAACAGCTTTTGTGGACAATATTTCCCTGTAGATGACTAAAACATACTTGGAAAGGGAAAAGTGATGATTAACTGTTGGTTAGAAACAAACTCTCAATACAAAAGAAAAGATGATTTTTTGAGAATAAACAAGTTCATTTCTTCCTCTTATATTTTTTTGGAGTCAATCGTTCTACACAAGAACGAAATTTGCGCAGCCATCTATAATCACTTACCGGCAATGCCACAAGTAGCAGGTGCAAAGTATATTGGACTAACTCAGAGCAATTACAGAAGCTGAGAAATCCTCAAAGAGAAAAATGGGGAAAAAAAATCGCATGCACACGCAAACAAAATTACAAAAAGTTACATCGATTTACTATGCCGCATAACAAAGTCGGCTACACAACCAAGCAATTATCATCTTCAACTCACACTTGTGAAGAATGAAAGGTGAATTATGGCCACTAAATGCAAAGATCAGATTACTCAGGTAACATTCTCCATTAACAAATTCTTTGATTTTATACCCATTTAATCAAACAAACATTTTATTCAAGTACTGAACAAGCAATTTTTTACAACTTTCCATCTCAAACCAGTAACTTAGGCATTCATTCATCCAGATGAGCCTCTGTAACAAACTGCCAACACAGTATTCAAATTTCCGAACAAGTGTTATGTGGTCTTTTGAAGAGGGTTTAAAGTTAAGCAAACCTGAGTAGGATGTTGTCCAGGACCATCTCCTGCATTAATAACAGGAATTTCAGCTGTGGCTGCAGCTCTTTTAGCAGCACCACTTTCAAAATGGCGCATTACAATGATATCCGAATAGCCTTCAACAGTTCTAATAGTATCTGTAAAAATCAAAATACTAAAACAAGTGATGAACCAAAGCGGCAAACTCCCCTTCAGCAGTTGAAAAAAAAAAACAATTACCCTCAAGTGTCTCTCCCTTGGCTGCGGACGAAAACTCCCTGGCATTTTCAGTTGTCAAAACTTCACCACCTAACCTTTTCATGGCAGACTCAAAAGAAAGCCGGGTACGAGTAGAGGGCTCGTAAAAAAGGGTAGCCATTAAATAACCCTTAAGGACTTGACTTCCAAGAGAATTCTTCTCAATCTTTTCCATCTCACGCGCCACTTCAAATATATCAGCTAGAATTTCCCTATCAAACTGCTGAGCCTCAATCACATCATCAAGTTGAAACATTTTCCCTACAGATAACGAAGGAGAATTCTCAATTCCTAATAAATTGCTATGGATTCTGCTCCTCATTGACAACCTTCCATTGTGTCTAGATACTGAAAGAAAAGATCGTTTGGTACATAAATTAGAATAATGGCACATTAAGGAATAGTCTCTAATGGGTTTAAGAGCAATTCCACGCTCATGAAATGAACAACTAGAAAATGAAGCTGAGGTTGCCATTGACAACAATAGATAGAACCTGCATGATAAATAAATAAAAGGATTACAGTAATTGACTAAATAGAGATCAAAAACACATTTCACAGATCTTATTCAAAATTCTAAAAAATGATTAAATAAAATATATTGAAGATGATAAGAGCGAGCAAAGAAATAGCTATTATCAAACCTTTGGAGGAGAGAAGTAGTAAATAAGGTTTTGTTTTGGTGCTTAGAAAAAATAAATAGATAGGGTTTTACGAAGGGACAAAGTATGAGAAAGTTGGGTTTTTAATGAAAAGCGAGATCTTTGGGAATAGCGGAAGCGTAGCACTACAAGTTAATACATTAAAAGATAGGAGACCTTAGCAATGGAGGGGCAGGTCTTCCCACTGGTTTTAGCACACCTGTCGTATGTTTAGTGGAGAAGGGAGGCAGGGGTAAGGATGGGATTTGCTGGCTGCTTGCTTTGGAGATCTGGATTTTGGAGCGCTCTGCAAGCATGAGTTTTTATTTGGCTGTTTCTAATTGCGACGTAGGAGTATTCACCCTCTCACTTAATTAAAAGTTTGGCACCATTAAGTGGATTAAATTTTCGGTTGTCAATCTTTTATTTTTATGGTTTTTTAATTATTGAGAGTATCTTTTAATTATTTGAACTACATTTGGTTAATTTCATTTGTAAAAACTTGAGTTGAAAATAATTAGTCTATACGATTGGACGAGTGTTTTTTTTTTTTAAATAAGGATAAAATCGAATAATTTTAGGTCGATGGATAATTTTTTGAGTTATGAATCCTTATTTGTTAAGGATTCTTTTATTTATTTTGAGTATATGTAATATTTTGAATAAAACTTGAGAGATTTTTTTCTACACTTTTGCGTATTTCTTTGCTTAGACTCGGTTAGGATATCGTAAACACATTCTTAAAGTGATTGCCTAAGATGAGTTTAGATCAAAATCAAGTCAAGTGGACTCTTGAAAAACGTACACTCGTAAGTAATCTCTAAATTAATTAAGGTAATAGATCCCTACTTAGGATGAGCTATTAAGACTTATTTTTATCTTTATTATTTTGCTATATGATTGCGAATCTAGTTACAATTCCACACCGAACAATTTTTGTCTTCACATTAATAACCAAGGCTAAGGATTTTATTTTGATTAGAACATTTGATAATAGCTAGTTAAGAGGTTTATTTAACTCCTTTTAAAAAAATAAAAAATATATTTGCTTATGCTTTAGGTGTCGAAATTATTATAATTTCTAGAACCTAGTCTCTCTAGATTTTTTATCGATGGAAAACCAAGGCTAGGGAACTTAGATTGACCTAAAATTTAGTGTGCATATACTTTTGGTAGTATCTAAATTGTATAAAAATTTTAGCCAAATTTGATTTGTTTTTCTTGGTGAAAGCCTATATCCTAGATTCGGGTTTGGAGATTTTATGGCTTGGCGATTTCGGGTTTGTGTGTGTTTGTGATTGAGGTTCTTATTTATTGAGAATTGGGTCTCGTGATTGTGGTTATTTAGGTTCATATTAGAATCTATTTGAGGCTATTTTGAACCTTGGAGATTTCGACCTAGGGCCTTATTATTTGTTATTTTTGTTAAACCTTTTCGCAAGACATAGCATCACTTAATTTTACATTAGATTGGTTTGGAAAGTGGCTACAACACATTCTGTTGATGGTTTCTTAAAGATGGTTATGGTAGTTTGTGCAACCTCCGACTTCGGATCAAGTAGGGTTTTTAGGAGGAGCATGAACCGACTATAAATAGATGTCACTCGTACAAATTAAAGAAATGGTTATCCATATTTATATAACATATAGAGGGAAAAAAAAGGGGGGAACGAGAGAGGAAGAAGCAACAACTTTTGAATTGGTAAGGTTCTTTGTTCGAGGTATGCTTTTTCTATCCATGTTTCTATAATTTAGTATATACTCAATTTTTCATAAAATTAATTAAGTAATTTAACTAATTTTTATTATGTACTAATTGATATTATTATTATTATTATGATGGTTCAAACTACATAATAAATAAATTTGATTAAAAATAGATCTAACTCAACACAAGGTTTGGAATCACGATGATGGACGTAGGTATTCTAGTAAGGCTAATGTATATATCGTGTTTTCAAATGCATTAAGCAAATTGGTTTAGTGGTCTCGGGACGGGGTTTGCTCTACTAAAGAAAGGCCTAATTGCTATTTTCGCTTACCTTTGTTAGCAAGTAAAAATAGTTTAGTTCAAAGAATATAATTCCTTTAATTAAGATATGACCCTCTAAACTTAGATGATGTGGCACTATATTAGTAGTCAAGTGCTATTTTCTTTCTCTATAAATATGAGCCTCACATCATTGTGAGAGAAAAAAAAACTTAGATCTCCGATAAAATCTATGAATTCTTTCTTAAAACTCCCCCACTTACACATCGTAGAAAACATTTAAAACTCCATCTATTTGGATTCCGACTATCTACTTGTTAGCCACTCCACTAGCATCTCGCTAGTACTATTTACTTCTCCTTCAACATCTATCTCTACTTGCATCTTTTTTATTTGGTTGGTCAATTGTTACTTCTACAAGTTAAAATGTCGACTCTATGTATTCGGACTAGCTTATCGACCATTCGTCTATCTCAAGAAATCCCCACACAATACAAATATTAGTTATATCAATTAATAAGTTGAATTTCAATAAAGTTTGCATTTGATTGTACTATAGCGTTTTGTTTTCCATAAAAGTGGACGAAAATTGACCTTAAAACATATCAATAAAGAAGTAAAGGTTGTAATAATGGTAAATTTTGAAATGGGCTTTCGAGAATTTGGTATTAATTAGAGTGGGTGTGTGTTAAAATATCACCTAAAAAAAGAGAAATAAAGGAGGGAAAATTACTATTTCTTATGTGGTTTGGATATATGTATATTAAGAATCTAGCTTAAAACTTTACACATGCTTAAAATTTGATAAGAGTACAGATCGGCTATTTAAAATCTATTTAGGCTTCATTATTGGTTAAGGTAGAAAACTAGAATGTCACAAAAAAAAAAAAAATTTTAGAAGTTACCATAAATTTTGACGAGTCTGCCACTTTAGGATATGTTAATTATTTATTTCATATGTGATAGGCACGAAATGACATAATTCATAGAAATTGCGTGGAGAAAAATATTTGACAAAATGAGCAACATCTTACTTATTCATACATATCCTTAATATTGGTATCAAATGTTTATCTCTTTTAATCATGCAAGGAAAGAAGTCATTTCCCTTATTTTCCACAACTCCATGACAATTTTATATTTATGCTCACAAACACAAAATTCTAGCCTTCGCTAAGACCTCAACAACCACAACCAACAAAAAACAATACAAATAAACCTAATTCTTCAACAAACAATTTAACCACAACAACAAATAATAGTCAAAATCTAATTCTCGATAAATGTAAAATATAATCGGTACCAAATTAATAACAGATTATTTAGTAGTAATTTCCAAAACAAAATATCTCAAAATTAACCCCAAACAAGCCAAAACACGAAACAAAAAAAAAAGCCAATAACACTAACAAAATAAAATTATGCTTAAACCTAGGATAACCTCGTCGAAATTTCACCAAATTTTAACCAAATCCGTTTTATGACTAACAAACATGGTCTACAAAATTTCATGTAATTTTGATGAACCTAACCTTGATTTTTACACTTGTCACACCTTCTTAAAGCCAAAATACAAATAGCAATTTCTAATATTTTTTTAAACTAGAATAGTTAAAATTTTTTATAAATATTTCAATACAATAAAAAGTTTCAATTTGAAAAAAGATGAATCAAAATCTACTTAATTATGAATAAGTTCAGATTTAGGATAAATATGTTAAGAGACAAGGACATAGCTACACCATCTTTAATCTTGGATGTAGAATCTGGATGCCACTTTGGGTAAGTAGTGCCAAGGAATTCTATGTGACAAAAGAATTCTAATTTTGGAGTGAAAAAAATTTCTCTCGCTAGTTTATTAAAAAAGAAACCTTTAAATAGTTAGGGTAAGATTTGGCTAGGCCTAAAGAAATTTGGGCCTTTAAACATTAGCCTAAACTAAATATTCTAAGAATTTTAATAGCCAAACACTAACTCACTTAAATCTAAAATAACAATATAAAATACATAATAGTTCCAATCCACTAAGAATAAATTATGATATTCAAACGGAAAAATAAAAAACACAAATAATTAAATGAGATAGCTAGTCCAATGCACATAAACATTTGGCTTGTTTTTCAAATTCTCTTTTGGTCATTCAGCCACTTAGTTTAGTGTGGACACTCTCGTGTCAAGCTTTCTTGTTTGAAAAAGATTCATCTTTGATGTCTTAGTCTTGTCCTCATCCTTTTTAGTGTAACAAGTAAAGTCTCGCTCTATTGAAAGCAAACCGCACTAGATAGTTATCTAGAAGGTTCACTTTGAAAGAGTTCTCTCTAACCCTTTCTAGCACAAGAAACTATCCATCCATTTTTTGAATTTAGCACATCGATTTTTGGAAAACTATTTCTTTTGCATATGAATCCAAACCAAATCTCCCGCTTGAATTCTCATAGGCCTATATAGATCTTGAACCTACTTCAATAATATCCCATTAATCTTTTTGGAACACTATTTGGAAGTTAACTTCTATATGAAAACTATATGGAAACTCTTGATCTCAATCACCCTTTTATCCCCTAATTTAGCTTTCTCATACTTGGTGGTCTTTCCTTCACTATATTCTTAGGCTTGATGTAACGT